TAGAAGATTTGTTTTCTCAGTCTGTCACTTGAGTAACGTATAGCCAGATGAATCGTGGTCCGTACTTTGTGGTCCACGATTATTACTCCCAAGTCGAGTTTAATGTGTGTGTTTGTGTGTGCAATATATACATCAAATAATAATAATTATAACTATAAAAAGGGAAAGAAATTCTGACTTTTGTTGGATGCGCTTTGTGCTTTTCTTACATAGATTTTATTTGTATATAATAGTTTTTGGTGAATATAATATTCAAATACGAAAACCTTAGTCTATACTATGTGCATGGACGATAACAAGAAACTTTTTAAAGAATATTAATTGTCCGTTAAATGTAAATATGTTCAGCTAGTTCAAACGTCATAACAGGACTTAATAGTTGGAGTATCAAACTTGTGAAATTGAAGATCACGACTCACGATAATATTATAATATTATAATATATTATGTCACTCATGTAAGAAAGGCCGTGGAAATAAATCTGATACCCCTACACGAAATATATTAAAATCAAGTTTTACAGATTTGGCTGTAGTTCGACAAATAAAAAAACGATTTTCATATAATCATATATTATTTTGTTCAGGGTATATATTTGTTCGGAATTCAACTATGGCTGATGTATGAATAATATTTGAATAAGTGCACGTTACTTTTAAATTCCCCTGACAGATCAGCGTACAAAACCATCGACCACTATTAAACCGTTCTAAAAGTAACCGGAAACGATTACTTTGTTTACTATAAGTTTACTTCAACTTTTCCGCTTTCTTTTACATTTTAGAAATACAATAATTTAAAAAAAAACTATAAGAATAGTAGCATGAGTCGTAGATCTTGTACACTAAGCAGTGGCGGACTGGGAGAAAAAAACATTCCGGGAAAATCAAAATTTTAGAGGCCCTCGGTATCCTGGTCGTCTAGTCCACCACTGAGACTAATACAAATCACCGATGACACTACATATGTGTACACATGGCATAAACCTAACACAAGAATTTAAAAGTTGCTCTTTAATGTCAACTACAAAACATTTTGATAAATATATACCATACAATATAAATTGTACCCACATAATCAATAATAATTGTATCAACTCGTTTGTATGGATAAAATATGTCTTAAGACACAAACATATATTTAAATAATATAATTTTACAATTTCACAATTAAACTGATTTTTATTTTATTATGGTGATTCATGAAAAGGTTTTTAGTTGAGCAGTACTCGATATAGGTACACAATATTATACACCATAACTGTTTCAACCATAAAACTTTAAACCGAGATAATAATTTATAGAATGATGAGCTAGGTAGGTAAGTACTTAGAGGCATCTAACGTGAAAAAATGATTAGTTTTGGTAGAGATTTAATTTAATACCAATAATATAATAATAATAATAAATCGATTGAGTACATATTTGTACTGACATGAATATAAAAAAATTAATAAATATTCATATTTTCTGAGTTAGAAAATTTTTTTTTAAATTCTAAGTACTTACACGGAAAAACGAGGAAACTATTTACTAAAGGTCAAAGGTTCGGGTATACGGATAACAGAAAATGCGATAGGGGTGTATATAAAATATTTGAAATAGAACTAAGAAAATCAGTGTTCAATGCATTTAAGTCATTGTTGACGGCAGTTTGTAGGTATTTCTCAAACAATAGATATACTTACCCAAATTATTAAAAGATTTGTCTTTTAGATGAGTAGTACTTTAATCAAGTATATGAAGTCTCATATTCTGGGAATAACGATATTATATAAAAAATAAAAATCACTGACATCAGAGCCAAGATAGACCGCACGATTGTCATACCATCATTTTCAATACAGTTGAAATGAACAACAGGTTTCAAATTAAAATTCAAAATTCCTGGTAAATTATAATGTATTGTATTGTATGTAAGAATTATATAGAACGAGTTGTTTATAAATTAAACCTCTTCAGTACCTAATCAAAATGAGTCATTCAAAACGAGACAAACTTAACAACGATGTATAAGATATTATAGTGTGGTTCGGCTCGACAATCGATATTAAACACTGGATTTCATCTCAGAATCTTTTGTTTCAAAAAAATGTTTTATGCTAAAAATATTATCAATAGCCAACTATAGTGTAATTTTTTAATTTACAAATGATTAATCAAATATAAATTCAGAAGTTGATTTAATATGAACACTTAATAGGTAACATAGTTATAATTATAATATTCAACAAATATAATATCTAGCTAAGGTAAATCGAAATTAATAAAAGGTCCAGTATTATAATGTATCAACAAACATATTGTCTAAAAACCATCGGAGCTCGTGCTAAAAAACGTCTTCTGATTTAATTAACAAACACGTACAATAATGTTAAGAGGATCTAAGGGGTGCAAATCTACACTCTAGCAACTCGAAAATGACGCCCCTTAATTTAAATGCTGATAAAAATATACATTTTTAAAACAATACTTTAAATCGTCGGGCGATTTTCAATGGCAGTTAACCTAATCTCATTTTTTTCATTATGACGACATTATTATGTTCGAATAATATTTGCCAGTCACGACGATGATTGTAGTCATGAAATAAATAGTGTAAATAATCAAATTTAACCACTGTCACGTTTCTTTTTTACAGGTGTGGTTTCGAAGAGGCTGAATATGTAAGTACAATAATAATAATAATAATAAAGAATCCTTAGCAGCCAACTGTAGTCCACCATTATCGCTGCTTTTCTCAGGAAAAATGTTGTTTTTCCCGACACGAGTAGCCGTCTGTCTGAGTGTCGACGCTATACATCGTCGAATAAGACTATTAAACACAATTTTGAGAGTATAAAATAACATATGCAACAAGTGTGGTGCACAATATTTAAACGCAAAAGCCTTGTATATTAATGTAGTTAAATATATTATTGATAACTTGAAAATCGCGATTACTCCACACTGATTACAACGATTTGAGGTAGTGCCTATATTATAATATAATCTAGGTATAATATTATAAGATCATACAAATAAGTGAACAGTATACTATAGTCACATTGGAAAATAAAAACCAGGCGCGCTGGACGTGTTATCGAACCTCACTTGTATACATTATAATATAGAGCACCTAGTGATGTGCCATTAGGAATATTCCCCAAGGAATGTTCCAGGGAACAGGGAATATTCCCCAACCACTCGGGAAATTTCTTTTAAAAAAAAAAAAAAATTATAATTTTTATGTTACCTATTCAGTATTTCAATTTCAGTATATTTATTTTTATTTTTTCAACATTTATAAATGAAAGCTGGATCGTTTATTTTGTGATCATTGTACATATTTTAATTAAAAAATTAAATTATAGTTACTTAATAACTTTTTTAAAGAATAAATATCCAAACCTATAAAATATCAATAAAGAGCTGTAATTTTTATCATTTACAACCATAAGTTTAATTTAAAACTGAAACCTCTGATCAATATTTAAAAAAAAATATTATATTCCCAGGAATTTGCCCATCACTAAGAGCGGCCGTATCATGTGTATAATATGGGAAACATTAGTAGACATCCTTAAAGACAATGGGATTTCGTCGTTTTTCAATAATATTATAAAGAATCCACACAATCAACCGTGGTTATCGTTGCTTTTCTCCAGAAAAATGTTGTTTTCCCGACTCAAGTAGCCGTCTGTCCGAGTGTCGGCGTCGGCTGTACAATAAGAATTTTGAGAGTATAAAATAACATATACATTTGCAACAAGTGTGCACAATATTTAAATGCACAAACCGTGTATATTAATGTAGTTAAATATTGACCGCTTTCGAGCAGCAGCTTATGCGGGCAGTAGTGTTGTTCAATGTACATTTTTTTTTTTTTTTTAATGAGATAAAAACGTTAAGACATAGTATATGCATTGCACTCCAACAGACCGGCTACCTCTAAAGCCACATTTATTTTAATTAAATTTTAGAAATTTAGCTGTTCGTAGGATAATAATTTGAAATCGATTGTTTTTTATGAAAGGCGCCTGGACTAAATTGACATTCTTCTTTGTTTATTTGTGTTTTTATGTTTATTGTTATTAAAATGCCCTTTTTCTAATTATAAACACAGACTACACTATAGCATTTGCAATTTTATCGAGTATTACAATGTAGTATGTCATAATACCATGTTTTTTTTTTCAAATAATATACAACGCCATTCTTAATAATATTGGAGTATTTATGAATATTTTCTTTTTTTTTTTTTAAAAATATTTTTCCTGTGATTGCTCATATTATATTTTTTAAAACTTCGATCCTTTTTTGTAGACCGTAATTGTAGCTTTTATTATTACGGAAGTCTACAATTCATTTTATCTCTTCACTACACTCATGCCAGTGTGGAGACTTAAAATAATAATTACGGCCAGTAATCTATTGGGTATTCGTAACGTCAATGTTTTCAGAAAAAAATTTAACATTTTGCAATGTATGTGAATTCAAATCAAGTTTTTACAGTTAAAAAAAAAACCTAATCAAAATATACAGAATATACAGCAACAATGAATTAATATTATGGTTATTTTTAAGACTTTTTACATTGGATTACCTATTCTATTGGTTAAATATAATAATATTATATGAGTAGATGCTTAAAAAGAAGTAATTTATAAAAAATTCTTTTACACTTTTGTCGACTTACATACAATGTAAATCCCAAGTATTTATAAAAAGAAATATATAATTATTCTTGTCAAACACAATAAACCCATGGTAAGAATTGTTTTAAATGTATTTTATTTTAGTGATAATTCCAATATTATATTATAAAAATAAACTGATTTATTTCATACAACCGTTTCGTTTGTTCTGCAAGTACTAGTATATAATAATAAAAATAATAATACCTATATTCCATTAGATAGTCAAATCACAATAATTTATTTAATTTCAGACGGTTACATCCATCTGGGAACCTTGTTGTAAAAATATCTGAAGTACCTATTATGTTCGAGGTTTATAAATCTAATCTGTGTTTAAGTTTTCTAAGAATTTCTTCTGGTATTTGCCCTCCGGGTCAAAAAATTTGCTAACTTGTTTGTACTCGTTTGGACGTTGATCTTGAATCGCCTCCATGGATTTTTTGATAATGTTCTTTTGCACTTTGGTACAAGACGCGCAACTATCTTTGACTATCGCAGGTAAAATTTCTGAAAAAAAAAAAATGCGAAACAAATAAGTTTAACGTAACTATAAATTATGATAATTTTCTCGAAGATGGATAAATAAGCTCGAAAAAAAACAATGGATGATATTATCTATCTACTCGAAGCCTATAAGTAGTTAGTATTTTAGTAAGAATCACAATCGAATTAAAATATCTAGTACCTACACGACTTCTGATTTTGACAAAAAGTAATTATTGGATTTTTTACCAATATGGTTATAGTATTAAAAACAAAAATGGTTATTAACCTGGTACTGAAATCAAAGGTAATGCACTTATTTCAATATCGACTTTAATTTATTACGTGTGAATTAAATCTACTGATCAATAAGATTGTATTGAAAAATAAATAACCTGTACGGTCGACAATTTCGGGGAAGATCAAGGGAATAACAAACAAAAACAGACAAAAATTAAAATTGTTTTGCAATAATTTTTTTTACATTAAAGGCAGTCAAGCGACTCTTAATAATTCGTGTATTTTTACATAAGTATAACTATATTATTTTATATATTTTAATAATTTTAAAACGTATTATAAAAGCCAACCTTACCAAAGGATAGTTGTTATAGTTATACTCATCATCAGGTCCATGATAATATTTTTAGCAGAAAAAAAATGTAATTTTGTTCAGAGTAAGTTACTACCCTACCTATACCTAAAGCTAATAGCTACCATAAAGGTACTATTGAACTACTGATGAAACCTTTTTAAGAAGATTTTACATTCTGAGAGGAATAAGAAAAGTATAAAAAAAAAATCACTAAAATACTTTGTCGACACCCTTCAGCATTGTTCAAAATATTTAAAAAATAATTAAAGGCTCGTTTATATTTTATACATTATATTCAGTTTACATTTAATTATTATTGACAGTTATCGACGATTTGTTGAACTATTGTTATTTAGTACCTACCTACAGTTTTTGTATATTTATTTTGTTGTATTAATACAATACAAATCAGATGATTATAATGGGGGACCCGTCGATTTCAACAATATAACATGAATTCTTTCGGATAAAGTTTACCTATACAATTATACATCCCAATTGAAACCTGATTTTTTTTTTTATGCAGTAATCGTGCATTTTTAAACGGAAATCTTGCAAAATACTTGAATATTTAAATTAAATTCACTATTGTTTAGTTTTATGACGCGTAAACTATAATATTATTCATTCCCGAAATTTCAGAACGATTCTCGTAAATTTCCACACGTACTGTAGTGAATTTTCCATCCCAGCAGTAAATATGTGATCGGCTCGTTTTTTATTTACCCCTTTTATTACGACGTGTTAAAATAACAATTTTTCGACTAGTAATCAATATATTGTCGTCGAAAATTAAACTATACAATTATAAATTTCCTGCGTTTTGTTTTGAACGCATAAACGTTTCCGTGACAAATTATCACAATGTCTCTTAAATATGATAACCGTAAAAATGATGCGAATGTATAGTCTTCGAGAGTTAAACGTGTATAGTTTTAATACCACAGCTGAACAAGCTTTGCATACTTATATAATCCCCTTTATTATATTATCACGTATACATAATATACGACATAATATTACATAGGTAGGTAGTTCATAAAACCGTCGACAGTTTAATTTTTGATTACATTGGCCGTGTCACATAATCTATATTAGAGGCACAAGGTATTATAAATTATTAATATTATGATAATTCACTGAATGTTTATTTAGGTAGTCCTATTATTGTTGGAGGTATAATGCCCGTCTTACCGATAATCGTATTCAATTTTTATATATTTAATATTTTATTTTGTTCATAAAACATTAATATTTTATGACGCGGTTACGTAAACTGTAGTTTCTACGCTTTTAAAGCGAACACCATAATAATGCATTATTACATGACAAACCATTAAGATGTGCACCCTCCTCCCACCACCATTGAACTAAATACCTATAGTGTTCATATCAAGACGTGATAAATTGTAATCGGTATTAATGTAAATTGTAATAATAATATAGTATAACTACGCAGCCGACGTGTCACGTGATCAATCTCAGCATAATCAATCATTTTAACTACCGAGCGAGTTAAAGTTTTTAATCATGTGAATATTAAACAAATGGAACTTTTTACAATCGATTAAATGGAGTTTAAAACGTCTATCGGAGTTTTGTTTTTCTCTTAATACAAGAGAGTTACGTCTAGCGTAAAGATCAGTAAGAAGTAGTGTACAAGTATAAAAGTAGGATCCCGTTCGGGTCGTTAGCCAATAACAAGCGAAATGTCTTTGCTTGTTCATTCGAGTTCACCAGCAAACTTCTCCTAGGTTGAGAATTGGAACTGGCAAAATTGTTAGTGTACTATTTGTTCGTTGCGTATCCAAACATTCCGTACTACATAATAACTGTTTTATATGGAAATTATTTAAACTTTGAAAAAATAACTCGAGTATTTTCATATGACAGAATTACAATATAATGCTACAATATACAACAATTTAATATTTTATTATTTTATCATCTATTATTGTGATTGTCCGTTGATGTTAGCAACATGCCTCCAGTATGTGACCCCGGTCACCAGGTCCACCCAACATTTTCCAAAATTGGTTCACACATATGGGAATCAAAAGGTCCTGTTTTAAGACACAAACATATTCAGGAGAGAAATTTGAAACTTCATACTGTAATATCTTTTTTTGTGATGAACGGTTTGTCTAATCTAACAATTATCAAAGTGTTTTTCTGCGTTAAACGTTGACTTAAGAACCAAGATCATCTATGTTCTACAAATGAACCTTTTGGTTGTTATTATTATATTTTTTTCCCCTTAGTTAAAACTACTCTATTCTCAACTACAATTAATACTTAGGTTTTAACTATGATGTCGACTGCAGGTTTAAAAACAAGCAATTTGGTATTGGCTTTATTCTTTAAACAGATACTTAATTTATAACTTTAAAAGTGTTTTTGATTGTAAGTGGAAAATCAGTGGCTGGTCCGAGGGAGTACGCGATGATCGTTCCTACCTCTTGGCATTATTTTCTTTTTTTTAATTGTAAATCTGCATATAATAACTTGATTTATTAAAGTTTACTAAAATATGTAGTGTTTCGATTATCTTGTCAATACAAATTGTCGAATTTAAATAATATTATGTTTACTGCAAACTATAATGATTGATGACTATAAAATGTCAATATATTGAAATATGTATTGGCTATACTTACAAATGGCTTTACATAATTTAGTCAAGTTATTAATGCTCGTACATCGTACTAAATAACTATACTAAACATGGAATATAGATTTCTCGATATATATTAATAATATATAGATAATAGTTATTTTAAATAGGTACATAATATACAGTAATTTAGGCACAATATATTTCCACTAAATAAATTTAGATATAAAATTATATATCGCTAGCGAAGTCATCGTACAATCAGTAATATTACGTGTCGCACACTCTCTTACTTTTCATTTCCCTCAGTTGGGCCGTACACGGTCCTTCGTTCAGAAAACATTTGACGTTGTTCGACATCAACCTGTGGTTTTTCAACATCTGGTCTACGTCGATTTTCTCCAACATCGACAAAAATTTTTTGATTACCTCTTGGATGACCGGGTGATTATTGTCTTCTTCCTTGTTCACGACCTTTGCAGCATCGTCTTCTTCGGTCACGGAGAACGACACACCGACCACGGTCATGAGCACAAACGCGGAAACAAACAGCTTTGAGACCATCTTGTTATCGTTTTTGGTACGAACTTAACTCGCACAGACTACGTTTACCGGTGTAGATGAAACTCGGATGAAGTTAAAACACTCTGTAAAATCGCTGTGCCTTCGCGAGTCCGTATTTATACACAACTTTTGTGCGTCTGTCCAATTTTCGAGGTCAGGTTTTGATCATCATCAGATGGTGGAAAATTACTCCAATTAAAATCCTCCCATCAGCGTCGTCTTACACAAAGTTTGATAGGGATCTCGCGACCTCGAGTACATAGATAACAATATTATTATATAGGTAGACGGCCATTTATAATATTCATACCATCAAACGCGAATCGCATTAAATTATTTTAATCGTAACTTGTAAACTATTATTATTACAAAAAACATTACATACTTTCATTAGGTACCTAAGCAATCTAACCTGAAGCAATCTAGCTGCACAGTACAATTTTGTATATTCCACATAATAATAATATTATAGTATGTTATAATATATATTATTTACGCCATGTGCAACGATCGTATAATGAGTCGACTGGATGGCAAATGATAACAATAATAAAATTATTCTAATGTGTGAGTTGCATCGCTCATGTCGTACCGCTCGTTTTACAGTGATAAATAAAAAATATTGAAAATAGTAGTTCTTGGTGTTCTTAGTGATTTTTTTAACAATACAAACATTAATTTTCTAGTTGTTTATTTTTGTTATTAAACATTTAAATTTTTACATGGCTGAATACCAGTACGTGATCTTTTCTCGGTTTTATTAGAACATGAAAAAATATGTATAAAAATTGACTTAAAAAAAAAAAACAATTTACAAACAACGACGTCTTTAAAAACTTTATAATTGTTTATATTTTGTGCACTAATAAAAACTACCAAAACAAATTTGGGGAATTAAAACCTTTTTTTAATAAAAACAAATCATAATTTGTATGTATAGTCACAAGTAATTTACATTTTTTGTTTTGTCCCCTACTTATTCATAATTAATGACGTAAAAATAATGGCAGATAATTTTAATTTATTTAGATCAAAAATAATACCTTCTTTTCAACGTGACGGAAAAAACCGATGACTTTAATTTATTTTTACGTTTCATTGATACCACGTTTTTTTTGTTTTTAATAACTGTTCGTTAATTACCGTGAAAAATATGTTTTTTCTTAAATAATATTATTTATCGATTAAATTGGTAAATAACCATAACATTAAAATATTATTCACGTAGTTAATTTATCCGTTTTCAAGTTTTGTGATTTATGAAATACACGTACACATGTATACCTAACTAAAATGATTATTTTGTATACTATTTTTATTCCTTGGGCTTATCTTAAATCTGTATCAGCTGTCTGATAACAGCAAGTAATATATTTTTCAATTTGACTTACTGTAGGTACCTGTATACTTTTTTAATTTTCGTATCAAAATCGATGGACAACCATACTATCATAAACCGTCTTATACATTGTACATACACCATACTAGGGAGTGGACAAGTACCTACTGAACAAATTTATTAGGCAGTAGAAGTTTTCACTTCTGTCCACCGTCCCAAACAGACGGTGATTTTTTATTTTTTTTTTTAATAAAGACGAAAATAACAATCATTTGTTAAATAAGTCCTTATAGTAATATAATATCCCAACAAAAACACTCCACCAAACTCCGTGTAAAAAAACGGTAAGTACCTATATAAAAAAAACTGCTCTAAAAGTTGTGATATCATTTTATAGCTTAGTCTTTAAACTATAGATATAATTTATGTTAAAACAGTCTGCTAAATAATTGAACTTAACTCGGTGACTTAAAAACACTTGATAAGAAATTAGTAGGTATTTAATAAGTATTTCAATGATAGTATATTATTATGTAATAATTATCTTATAGTATTTTTAAATGTTTAACTTAATTCACCAAGCTATAAGTTCAATTATTTAGCTGACTATTTTAACATACATTATTATATCTATAGATCAAACACTTAGTTATAAAATTATATCACAACTTTATGAGCTGTTTTTTTTTATATAGATTTATATATATATATAAATTGCAAAGATGAAAAAATATTTACTAAAATATAGGACTGTCACTATTTTAAATCAAATATTTACATATATTTTATTAAATTGTGTTCTAATTTTGAATTAAATTGAAGCGTGGGATAAATTATTATTTAAACAATATTGTGTAAGACAACTAGGAACTAAATTTAGTGAAAAAAAAAATGAGTAATAAATAAGACAACAAAAATAATTAATGAATAATGTTTATTCATTTTAAAGAGTTCACGCAACATTGCATTTTATACTAACAATATCGATTTATAAAGCTACAAAATAATTTTTCTTTTTAATAATAAACTTGTATATAATACAATAGTTGATGCATAATGATCTTATATAATTATATAATTATTAATCTATCGCAGTTAAAATACTTTTAAACTTTTTTAATAATAAAATCTCTATTCGTGTTTTAATTAAGCGCTTTGGCATTGATTAACTATATGTGAACTGTTTCAATTATTATTGGTAAATATACAAAATCTGTTAAGAAACTAATAATTTTCATACTCATAAATAGAAAAAAAAGTATTGTAAGTATTTAGTTTTTATTATTCTTTTCATTTAGATTTAGGCAATTCAAACTTTTTCGTGATAATATCTTCGATATTTTTTCTTTATAATGTAATAAAAAACTATAAATAGTTATATTTTTTTTTATTTTCGTGGAATGGAAAACTTTATTTTTATTTTCACGAGACCGATATATATTTTGTATAAAATCTCTACTGAAATTTTATCGGAAGAAACCAATAGAACATTTGAACTATAAAAATATTATTTTAAATGATATATTATTACAAACTGCCTATACTTATTTTTTTAACCTAAAACGTGGATGAAACAGAGTTTTATTCTGGATTTTATATTTTTTTTAAACTACCTACATGGCTATAAGTAAACATAGTAGGTATATAAACATTCATCGGACTTTGTGATACATATTTTTGAGAAGAAGTCCTTTTATTCTTATGGATTGTTGTAAGTAACATATTTTTTTTGCAAAATCATAAATGTATGTAAAATTACAGTTAGAATAAAGTAATATTATCTGAAAATATTTTCAAATTACCTAATATGAAACCACAGTATTATATTATTTTATTCGTTTAGTCAGCGTCAACATAAAAATTATATATACATAAGTTTAAATTATATAATTATATAATCATAAGTTATAATTTTTGAAAAACAAAATATATTTTGTGACGGGATACACATTTAAAAATAAACAAACAACATTCATATTATAGTAATAATTGGGATAGCATATTTTATAAAATTCAATAATAATAAAATATTATGTACAAAATTCTATGACAAATATTACGTTATAATGAAACAGTAGAATAATATAATATGTCCAATCATTCGATGTGTTCTGTGATAAATACAATTTTGTTTTAATTGTATAATGACCAATTAAATTAAGTGTTAATTTATTCTAATTTATTCTATTTTTTCTTTTACTGGAAATAACATGAAATATACACAAATAAATAATTGCCCTAAAACTAATTTCCGTCTGTTTGAGCGTCTCCGTTTCATTAGCCGGTAATGTAATAAGCTCGACGCTGTTTTGTGCTACTCGGAATACCTTTCTATATTCATCATTATCCAAATGGTACTTTGTAGTATTATCGTTTTAAAATTTAAATTTTAAGTACTATTTAAGGAGATGGTGACATTTTTTTTTACACACGAGCGTAACACGATCCTTTGGCTCTACAAATATAGGTACCTAATAACTTTGTTTATATTATGTAGGTATAACTTATTACTACTTACCTTGTACCCCATATTGGTACCATATATTACCGGTACACGTCAAATGGTATTATATATTATATCGTATTATATATATTAATATGATCGTAAATACTTGCGTTTTTCATTATAGCTCCGGTTCAAAAATATTATTGGAAATTTAATTTCTTAACACAATAATATTGATGTTATCTGTTAAGCAATAATATATGTATATTTATTTATTAATAGTCAATATTTTTTTTTTGAATTTATTTTTTCTTTCAAATTATTCAGAGAGCACAATATAGGTATAGTTATAATATGGTAAGCTTTCAAAACAAAATGTTTATCGACTATATTATAATACATAAATATTAACGCTCACATAAAACAATATTATTATAACTATTATAGTCAAAATACCAAAGAGTAAGGCAAGTATAGTATTTTTTTTTTGCTCATGTTTTATTATTATATAATATACATAAGTATATAGTTCTTTTGAAAAGGTTAATCTGTTCACTTTAGAATTATTATATTGTTATAATGGATTCATATATATATATATATATATATATATATATACTTATAACGTTTAGATATCGAAACGAACGTTGCAAAAATAAAAATAAATGGTCATATAAAAATTCACGACCTTTCGGAAAATGCCTTTACAGTTGTAGCCTGTAGGTAAGTAAGAAAAAAAAGAAAAAGCCAACAGTCAGATGGTTAGAAATTGAGATGGCATAAGAATAAAACTTGAATAACACAATATCGCTAGCTAGATATCGGAGACAGTGAATAGAAAATCGTACTACGACAAAAAAAAAAAACTTTTGTCGTATCTCTGTTGAAAAAACCAAAGAGTTCTTTGAAAATGTAATAATTAGGTTCCATTCAATGTTTTAACTTAATTTAAATTTGTCTGGAGTGTTTCTTATTCTTTAATTTTTAAATTGTTTTGATAATCTAGACATCGGGATAACTATAAGTCGTCGAACATCTATATGGGCACAAAGTTCGGATAACTTCTATACGATATTTTATATACAATAAACATATATATTATAATTGTGCAAGTCTATGTCCTCGAATATCTATAATATTGTAATCATTAATGGCACTATATTATAATAATAGTATTCAGTGAAACCTGCACTGATTCATCGTTTAAACCCGATT